TAATTGATGAGTAGTATTTTTAAAAATTTTAATTGACTACAAGACTATCAGGATTTATAATCAATTAAAATTATTAATTAAAAAATAGGATAAAAATATATTAAATTATATTTAAATGATATTTTAATATAAACAATAAGATTTAAATTTTGCCCCAACCCTTAACACCTTATGACTGTGTGCTAGGGTTATCAAAATGATTATTTGCTCACGAACAGCTCGTGTTCGATTTGCTAAGCAAACCAGCCGAACACGACCACATGTTGTGTTTGAAATACGAACGAGTCGAACATGAAGATTGATCTTTTTAAAGAACCGAACACGAGCGAGCCTCGTTTACAACCCTAGTTGCACCACAAGATGCAATTTTAAAAATCAAATACCTAAAAAGCTCAATAATCAGATTGCAACAAAATTACCATAACTGAGGGATAATATAACTAAAATTGAAAAGCTTGCACTACAAAATAGAAATTCTATTATAATTTAAATATTTTTGTTTAACTCCATTGAGCACAAGTAAAAAATCGATAAGATGTCCTTCCAAGTTCAATATCAAATGCACAAATGAAACCTCAAATCCCTTATTTAAAATCAAGCAATGTTAAGTACAAATGCATTTGCAAATCTGTTTCACTAAAAGCACAATCAGCAATTTATTCCATTTAAATTCTCTTTTCTTCAAATACATTCTCTTTTAAATGTATTCGCTATAGAAAGGTCGAAGTATAGCATCTCCATTTGAACATCAACAATTTGTACCATACTTAGCATAGCATTAATTCTCTCATAGACCATCAAACTAGAACATATATCCATTCAAGTTACCTCTAGCAATCATCCTCTCTTCCTAGGCTATATATTTGTAATAGCACATCATCTCTTCTCAAAGATATCTTCTTGTTATCTTCTAATACAGAAAGAGAAGCGTAAATATTAATCATGTATATAGTTTCCCTCAACAATGACTGAGTAACCAGCAATCAGAATATTATCAATCTTGTCCACCTCAATAAATTTTTTTCTTATAACTATCTACAACTAGTACACCTACCCCATTTCTATCGTTAACGCTCTAGCATAAAAAAGCTTATTATCTTCCCATTTTTCATTGAATTTTTCATCTTGTTGATTTATTTTCACGCAAGAGAGTGATTAATTTTTAGCAATAATTATGCCACTAACTCTCCTACCACCTCATTCAATGTCCCTTAATTTTAAATAGTAATCTAAACTTAAACATTATACCAATCAGGGCATGTCATTTATGAATAATATCCTAACAAATCCTTGTCTATCTTCTTAGAACTGCTCTACAACAATGAAATAAAAATTGAATTGTTTCAAGAATTTTTTAATAAATTGTGATTGGTTGTAAACCTAACATCAATCATCAATCATCAATCATCAATCTCTCATATGGATTTGGAATCAATAATGGTGGATTTTTTTAGAGAGGGGGCCATAGGAAGCATGAACAAGTTAAAAGAAATAAACATATAAATTAAGGATATAAGGCAATGCATGCTAATGTAGCTCAAAATAAAATAGCATAGCAATATGACTCACAGAGGATCGATTCAGTTTGTGTATTCACATGAATGAACACATCCAATCTCTCTTAGAAATGTCGATTAAATACTAAACATATGTGCTCTATCATTTGAGTTAGTCAACATTTAATCTATAATCAAATCAATACAATTCAAACATTCACAACCACTATCAAATACCAATCATATTATGCTAAATCAAAAACAATATCAGTAAAGAATTCATTCATAACATAAAAACATATCAGTCAAAACATTCACAATCATAGATTCTTTGACGTGGCAATAAAACATAGTCGCAAAAAATGTACAAAGGTTAGGTATTTTTAAAAAAAAAAAAAAAAAAAAAAACTGAGATAATTAAATTAACTAAGAAAGCATGAAGGAGATCTAGAGAAGGGTTGAAATGGATTTAGTAAAAGTACTTTTATTTAATGAAAGGAAAATAAGACAATAAACAAAGTTAATAATTGCTAAATAAGAGTTTGAAGAACAAAATATGCATAACCAAAAAAGAGGAGTTATCAAATACATTAGGGTAAATCTATGAAGTAAAATTATCTCATAAGATTAGTTTATCAAAAAGAAGCACCCGGAGAATGCTATTACTGATGACAATATTGATAGGTGGGTAACCCTCTGAAATAACACGAAAAAATACACTTTACAAACAAATAAACAACATTAACAAAGCCTTAATCCGACTACGTGTGGGTCGGCTACATGAATCATTTTTCTCCATTGCGTCCTATTTAGTGTCATATTTTCATTTAGTTCTAATAAATTAAGATCATTTTTTATACAATAAGCCCAAGTCTTCCTAGGTTTACCTCTGCCTTTCTTAACATAAGTCGAATCTACAACATCCACTCTCCTAATCGGATAATTAGATGGTCAACGTTTAAACAAAGATTATTAATACAAAGATTAGCGCATAAACTCCAACCATGATATGAATTTAATAATGATAGGTCAATAATATTATATGATCAAGTATTCCTATTTGTAAAAGTTTAGATGATTTGGCAAAATTATTAAAAAAATGCATATGCAAATGAGCATATAGCTTATAAAATTAAAGCAAAGAACCTCTAGAAAATCATTAAAGTGGGACATAAAGAAAATAATTATTAAGTATGAAATTTGAGTTATTATATTTGAAAGTAGTATCTATTGAGGACAACATAGTAGAAAATGAACATAGAATGTTTAGACAAATGCAGTAAAATAGAAGAAGTACCAAAAAAGTGGTAAGATTATATCAACAAAAAAACATGGAAGGTTATGGACAAGGCTACTATAACTATACACAACACTAACATCAAGACTTTATCCCACTAAGTGGGGTCGGCTACATGAATTCTTTTTTCTGCATTGCGTCCTATTGAGCGCCATATTTTCATTTAATTCTAATAAATTAAGATCATTTTTTTATAAGCTTGCCCATGTCTTTTTAGGTCTACATCTACTTTTTTTAATATAAGTCTAATCTAAAGCATCTACTCACCTAACTAGGTCATCAGATGGTCGACGTTTAATGTGACCAAACCATCTACCATAACTTGAGCAAAGAACTAAAATGACATGCAATATTCAGCAGAATTTAAAGGGGGAGACTGATTCTAAAGCTGACAAAAGGAAAATGATGATGATGCAGTGCTTAAAAACATACAATAAGCCTACTTTTTTTTGGACATTTACATGTATAACACCCAATTCCTATGTATTTACATATCTAACACTTAAACCTCAACTTTTACATATATAACACCCAAATCTTTCATATCACACAAAAAAATCCCATTAATTTAACTTTAAAAAAGTGAAATACAGCTTTTAATGCATAAGTAAGATGGAATGTATGTAAAAAATTGAAGTTTAGGCGTTAGATATGTAAATACATAAAAATTGAGTGTTATGTACGTAAATCTTCCATTTTATTCCTTTGAACATCAAACTTTAGCAATAGAAACAAACTTAAAATGTTATTATGATTTGAAGCATACAAAAATCTTACCAAATTAATTGGGTATACGGAAGCAAGCAAAAGGGTAAGAAAATTTCATATTGTGCTAGTTAATTATATGCAGATTTAAAGGAGAAAAATATACATACCATACATACCACTCAATTGCTATGTATTATCTAACACCTAAACTTCAATTTTTACATGCACATCCCACCTTCCCTATGCACTAAAAGGTGTATTTCACTTTTTGTAAGTTCAAATAGTGGTATTTTTTATGTGATGTAAAAGATTTGGGTGGGTGTTATTGATCTAAAAAGTAAAGCTTAGGGGTTAGGTGTATTTATGTATGTAAATTCCCCTTACATAGCAGTAAATGAGTAGCCATCGCCGAAGAAAAGAAACGAACAAACATCAAACGGATCAACAGCTTTCTCTGATAACTTTTGAATTCTACCAAACAATTAGCAGTGATTCAAGAGAAAAGAACATATTTCAAAGTCATAAATTGTTCTGCTTTAAAACATTCAAATGAAGACTAACAGAAAGGCAGTGATAAATATAGGAAACATGAGCATTAAGAACCATTGAAACACAATTCGAATCGGTTGATACCAAGTGTCTGTAATCTGAACTACTTCTGCTTTGAGGACTTCTTCTTTGAAGAATGAGCTGCAGCAGGCTGAGGCTTAGGATGGCGATCTACTTCAATGGAATCCAACCAGTTCAGAGGGTGGCGATTGAAGAATGGCCAGTTGGGCACTGTAACCAGTGCGGTCAAAAGCACACCAGCAGCGTAGATCAGAAGCATGGTCTGGAAAGAGCCTATAGAATACCCCACAACAAACGCGACTATACCAAACGCTACCAGAAAAATCTCCATCAGCTTCTCTGCGAGTTTTTGTCCTTGCCAATCCATCTGCGCACATCAACAGCAAGAATCGGAAAATAAGAATTATGCGGCACGGTTATTCACTAGAATTCACGGAAAAGAATGATGAATATTTTCTAGCAGAAATAGCATAAGAGGAACAAAAAGGAAACCCTAGAAATGCAAGCTATGGAAAAGAATACGCGATCCAAAGGAAGATCTGATAGATTTAGTACAAAAATCTAACAAATACATTGAATCTGCTATGTTTAAGCAAAGATAGTTGAATCGAAATAAAAGAAAACGCGACAATCGCACGCACAGTAGATTATTGAAGATCAGAAGCTCCGATGACAATGACAAAGAAAACAAAACTGCATATTCATAAAAAAAAAATATCAAAAAAGAAATCTACAGATTTCTATATCCCGTTTTAACTCCAATTTGGCCTACAGGATTCACTAAATCCTATAGACTTCAGCTGATTTAAAGGCATTTAGACGAATAGAAAGGATACCAGCTGATGCGTTAGCCACTGAGCTCGCCTGACTATCTCCTCGTGCTTCTTCTTCTAGGGTTTCCGATAGGAGTAGCAGGGGCAGATTATCGAGGGTTTCGGACGCCGCGATCCCACCGAAGGCTTCGCCGGCAATCTGGTGAGATTTTTAATTAAGATTTGCATATACACCATTAGATTTCTTTGTATTTACATATGCATAAGACATAAACTTCAATGTTTACATAAACACCTTCACATGAAAAATTATACTTCATTTTTTTTTTAATTAAAATCATTATATTTTTATGTAATATAAATTTAAAAAATTAAATTTTAAGTGTTAAATATGTAAATACATAGGAATGATGCAATATAGTTTAAGATTTATTTGCATATTTGAATAACATTTAATTCTGATAACCTTACATATCTAACATTATAAACTTTAGTTATTACATATATATATATAACA